GGTCTTGGTTCATCCGGTAGGAGAATAGGAGTCACCGGGACTTCAGGCTGGAATGATGGTAAGGGATTCGCAGCGAAAAGCCGTGAACTGATCGGATGATGCTAAGCTGCTCATCGCGGGATCAAATGATCTCAGAGTAAAGGATTTGGCTCGGTGGCACCGTTCTCGTCTGAGCCTTAAGCGTAGCAGGGAGGGATCTGCTACCCGAAGGATTGTCTGAATTCTCACGATTGGGTGGAGCGTTCAGTATTGGAGCATTGTATGGGGGTTATTCTGTAAGTATTGGTATAATGGCCGACACTGGGAGTGGCTAGGATTGCGGTTTCAGCAGAGGATCGGTCCTCGAAGGAAATTGGGAAGGTTGTTGCTTGTGGAATGTACCTTAGAAAGGCCAGTGACAGTAGAGGGTAAAAGGGGAAAACCCCTTGCTAATCAAGGGCAAGTGTAACAGGAGTATCGGTATGATTACCGGTTGGATAAAAATGTTTTACTTGAAGGTAGTAAGGAACAGGTTATTCTGAAGATGACATCTTCAAGGTTTGATCGGATGGGCGGAGTGTGTACATAGTGGTTAAGTGGTGACCAGATGGTACGGTAGTCGGCCGTGGCAGACTTCGAGGACGAAGTCTAGTTTAAGTGGGGGAGAGTTGTAACACCCAAAATCAGAAAGGCCAAGAAAGGAAAGAAAACCCTAAGTCAAAGGGTCAACTCGTCGAGTCCAGGGAGGAACTCGACGAGTCGGAGCGGGATCCGGGGGATCGATTAAGTAACCGACTCGGCGAGTCGGCAAAGAGGACTCGACGAGTCCGGTCTGAAGAGGGAAACCCTAAATCCGGGACTTTGTGCACTATTTAAGCATATCATTCTCTCCCTTAGGGTTCCATATAGCCTCTCTTATCCAGAATACGAAACCCTAAGCCTCCATTGTTGCACATTCAAGCTTTCTTGCCATTTTGGGTGATTTGAAGGAAGAAGGAAGAAGGGAACCATTGGGGATTCAAGGATTGGCAGTAGATCCAGAGTTTGTGGGATTTTCCAGAGCATTTGAAGGTAATGAGTCGCTACCTTCACTCTTTTGCATATAGATCAACCTTTAACATGAGATTTGGGGCTTTTAGGGCAAGTTTAAGAACCATTTCGAGTTAAAAGCCCAGATCTGAAGTTGCTACTTCAGATCTAAGTGTATCTTGGCCTAGAGAATCATAAAGCATCAGTCTGTGGGTTGATTGTTAAGCCTCTTTGTCTTAAACCCTAGTTTATAGTGTTTTGAGCCTAGATCTCCTTAGCTACACGTAAAGTTTGCCACTTTACGTGAGGAATAGGCTTTAGAAGAGTGGATCTACAGTTTGGAGTCCAGGCATGACTCAAAAGCCTCTGAATATATGAAGGATTGAATAGACTCGGCGAGTCCTTCGAGTGGACTCGGCGAGTAGTATGAAGATGGATATGAACTCGACGAGTTGGATGAACAACTCGGCGAGTCTGTTGAAGATAGCCTTGGACTCGGCGAGTCTGTTCTTGGACTCGGCGAGTCAAGTCGCGAAACTCCAAACCCTTCGAGTTAAGACTTGGATCAGTGAGTCGAGTGGGGACTCAGTGAGTTGGACAGGTCAGGACTCGGAAATCGGTAGACTCGACGAGTCAGGGGATGACTCGGCAAGTCGAGTCGCGAACGAAAGGATTCTGAGCGTATGAACTCGGCGAGTCAGTAGGCAGACTCGGCGAGTAGGGTTGACCTGGAAGGTCGACTTTGACCAGGACTTTGACTTTGACCAGAGTTGACTTAGTTTGACTTCTAGAGTTCAATTTGAAACTAAGTGTTATATTGATATTAGTAGCTTGAGGAGCTAGTGGGGCAGCGGTTCAGAGAATTGTCGGACAGCAGCCAGAGGTTTATCAGCAAAGTTCAGCAGTGCGAGGTGAGTCTCCTCACTGTTTGTATGGGTCTAAGGCACCAATGCCGGCCCATTTAGTTTATATATGATAAGAAGACCCGGGGGTTAGCCCTAGGCATTATGCATGAAAGACCAGGAGGCGGCTCCTGGCACACGGTATGTTATTATGTGTGGTAGGAAGACCCGGGGGTTAGCCCTAGGCAATATGTATGAAAGACCAGGAGGTGGCTCCTGGCGCACTGTATGCTATTATACATGAAAGACCAGGAGGTGGCTCCTGGCACACTATATGTTGATTAGCCTAATAGAGTAGTATGTATAGTAGTCTTTGTGATACTTGCATGAAAGACCGGGGGTGGCTCTTGGCACTTGTCTGTAAGACCTAGGGAGTGGCCCCAGGCTTGACCAGGAAGACCACGTGCGGCCCGTGGCATAACCACAAGACTATGTTTGGCACATAGCACCTTGGCAAGACTATGTTTGGCACATAGCACCTTACCTGATTATGGATATGTTGGTTATGTATGGTTCTTGGCTATGTATGGCATGTATGGATGAGTTGGTTTGTATGGTATGTGGTATCTGGGGAACTCACTAAGCTTCGTGCTTACAGTTTTCAGTTTTGGTTTCAGGTATTTTGTTTTCAAGGAAAGGATTCGGCTCGATCGCAGCGCATCACACTATGTTTTCCGCACATGAGATCTTTGGGATTACACTCTGATATGGTTTTACGATAATATTTTCGATTACCGACACTTTGGTTTGTCACGAGATATTATAATGAATGTTTTTATACTGATGGTTTTATGTAATAACTTATTTAAAAATGAAATTTTTGGCCTCGAATTTTGGGATGTTACAATACACTTACTTACTTACGAAGATCAACTGGATAACCTTCTACTGACAGAGTGGTGGGTGCTACTGTCTTATCTTATCCCTTCTTCTTTTACCCCGGCCTGGGGCTGGTCATTCAGTTCAGATCTACCAATTCTAACATATCACTACAGTATACCAGCATCCCACACACAAGGACAAATACTGCAGTACAAACTATAGTGAGAAAATTCACCTCGCAGTATAGAAGATAACAGTAATCAAAGATCTGATAACCAGCTCTACAGGTCACCTATACAGCAAACAAGGACGAATCCTCAAACTACAACCCAAAACCCTAAGTTTGACCTAAAGTCAAACATAGTCAAAAAGTCAACGGTCCAGAAAAGGTCAGCACTCCAAAAGTCATCCAGCCAATCGCCACGTCGTGACATAATGGAGACAAAATAATTGCGGACCAGACTAGACAGACTAGAGCCTTAAGCACTTAATCCTTTAAGCCATGCAACCAGACCTTCCAGAAGGCCTTCTCTATCTCATAATACCAAAAAAATCGTAGCTTTTTAGGCATGCATGTCCAATGCATGTCTCAAGATCTCATGCACGATTTCAAAACTCTATCAAACTTTAGATTCATTACTTATAACTCCAAAGGGACTTTATGGATCCATAAAGTTGGCAACTTTATGGAACCCCAACACTCCAACTAGCCTAAAAATGAATAAAAGAACATAAAAACCTAGATCTAAGTACATAGGATCATAAAGCATGGAGCTTGAATACTCACAAAGGTCTAGAGCGTGTGAGAGAAGATGATGGTAAGGCTTGTAAGCTGAGATGATGCACCAAATGCCTTCTCTTCTTCTTCAAGGCTTCACCAACAATGAAGCTCAAATATCAATAATGGAAGATTAAGGTTTTTGGAGGTTGAAGGGAGGTGATGGAGAGCAAACCCTAGTCCTCAATTCCCTTAAATAGGGGGGACAGCCCCTAAAATTAAGGTTTTGGCACTCAAGGGTTGTCACGTCGTGACCGCAAGTGGTCACATCGTGACCCACATGTGGTCACGTCGTGACAACCTAAATGGGATGCGCGTTTCTTCGAGCATGGTCATGATGTGACACACAAGTGCTCACGTCGTGACTAAGGTTAAATCCTTAAAATTTAATTGATAGCTCAACATAAATGCTTACATGAAACTTGGTATTCAAAATGCAAATAAACTTGTATCATTTTACTTAAAATTTTAAATTATAATTGTAATATTTGTAATCATATGTATTACATTAGTTATTTATGGAAGTAAAAAAAAACTTTAATAATATTAACGGGATAACCCAACCCAATATAACTCAAACTCATTTTAGCCTGTTATTCAACCCATACAAGGTTATACATACCCATTATCCTTTCAGGTTCATGGTTAAAATATGAAACATGGTACAAGAATGCAGATGCATAATACTTGATTGAAAACTTGTTCATGTTTTGGCACACCTTATACCAAAGAAAGTTAGCAAACATGTCTTTTAACCACCCTAAAACAAGCTGGTATAGACTAAGGGATTATTTCCAAAATTATAGAACTGGATTGAATGATTGGGACTAAAATCAAAAGAAATACAAAAGGATCTTGGCTTTTGAGATGCCAAGTCACTCCCAAGTGATCTCATTCCGACTATATCTGATCCAAGGTACAAACTACAAACACTATGCTCGTATTTATACTCGTCTAAAATGACCTAACAGACGTTACAAGAAAATAACCATATTGACCTTACTAACAAAAGACAACTATCACAGCTAAACCCATGCTTACTTAGAAGTGTAACACAAGCATTAAAGGATACCTTGATTCCAATGGCTCAAGGAATGAAAGAAGAATATGTTTGCAAAAAGGCACAAATCAAAACTTGTTAATTTCACATTTGACATCATACATCTGGTCATAGTGTAACGATTCATTGCTAATAGACAACACTAGATAATTTCACAAGAGATGGAACAAAACAAAACTTTGACATGAAATCATAGTAATAGAATTTGAAAGTAGTAAGATAGAATTCGAGAGAATTAACTGTTTACCCCGAATGTCTTGTCATGTGAAACGCTTTTATAGATTGTCAGCCCATGACTCTGGTTTAATAGCAGCAGAAGACTTCTACTTGCTAAGAAAGAATGCATATTATCTTACTGTCTTTTCAGGTAACACGCATTTCATTTCTTCAATATCTAGTTCCAAAACCTATGGTATAGAATAGTAACTTATCACGTAAAGGTTTTCACCAGAGTTGTAAGTGATAAGTACGACTTCGTAAAGTTCTTGGATTCGAATAACATCCATTTACGTTTCCCATTCGGATTGAGTATGAGTTCAGATACAGAGAGATCGGTATGTAGAGTATATATCTTCCCCTTGAAAGCATGGAAATCAAGGATGGGGAGACCGGAGGAGACAAGATTCCATCCTCGTTTACCTTCTATACAAAACGATATTTTTCTACGTAACACAAGAAACAACCACCCAGATAATGAAGGTAAAAACACAAGGATAGCCTTTGTTTTATCACCAAAAGGTAGATATAAGGGGTAATTAGGGAAATAGAGTTCATACCGTGTGATAAGATTCACAAGCCAGAAGTCATTGGTTTCCCTACCGAATAAGATTAGGTAACCACAAGTCAATCCAATACAGATCCTGCCAGCTGAATCTGGAACTATGGTTTTTAATTTTTTTTCCTTTAAAGTCCTCCGGATACCAAATCGGTCTTGTTTATTAATACTGGTAGATATCGACATGGGAGGTATGGAGTCCAAGTATATATTCCTCTCGGAGAGTGCAAGTGACCTCTGTGACTTGCAAACTTCATTGAATGCAAAGAAATCAACAAATCCTAATTGCATGATAACTAGAAAAAGCACATCATGGTTTAGATCTGACCAATATCCCACATCACCCTTGTCAAAACTCTTCAACCTCTTCCTGCTAGATGATGATGATGCATTATCATTATCATCTTGATTTTGGTTTCTGTTCATACTCCTTGTCTTGGCCATTCCTAAACTTGAAAAAGGAAAATAAATACCACATAAGATACAATAGTTGCAAACAGGGGAGAAACATACACATGCACACACAAACATGGGCTACCCTTCTCACATCACTAAACCCATTTAATGTTTCTTAGAAAAACTAAATTCTAATATACTATGTGTTATGGATGCTAAATGTGGAAAGACCTACAAGCGTCGACCTAAGGAAGCTAAGGAGGAATTGGGTTCGTTTTTGCTGCATGCTATTTTATTTAAAGATTTCAATATATGTTTAGTTAATTAGAATATTTAGTTTCCTTTTTCCAGTGTCTTGTTATCCCTATTTAAAGGGTCAATTATTATGAAATAAAGCATGCAATTATTCAGTCAAACCCTAACCATATTCTTAGATTGTCGATCAAGCTTAGTCTCCTTAGAGGGGGCAAGGCTAGTCTTTGTTAACGGATTCCAGCAACACATACACAGGTAGGATTACACGAGCAAGATCCCGGGCAATATCAAATTTGGTATCAGAGCCGCTCGTGATGTCAGACTCCTATAGATGAGATGGTGAAAAATATGGAATCGTTTATGATTCAACAGACCCAACACACAGCACACAACATACATAATGGCAGCAATCGAAACCTTGAAGACCAAGCAATCCGCACTTAAGGAAGGGTTGCTGTCCCAAAGCCAAAATAAGTCGAACAAACAGGTGATTGAGGAAGAAAGTGTAGATGATGATCACGAAGGGGAATGGTTTAGTGATCCACTAGAGCAAGGTCGGGGAAGGGGGGGGGGCGGGAGGTGCTACTTTCGGCACCAAACCAAACACCAAAGGACCTGGCCTCTCGGGGGTGGTCGGTAGAGGTAGGGGGACGATAGAAAACCCACCGGAAGGAATATGGAGGGGAGCAATAAAGAATGTCGAGTCATGGAGAACTAAAGAACCACCGACCATTCAAGCATAACTGGGGGTACAACAAGTTTGAAGGGGGTAACTAGGGGTACAACAAGTTTAAAGGGACCATCCGTCAGGAACCAGATCCATCAAAGTTATTCGAGGTTCACGATAATACAGGATTCAAGGATAACCAGGAGGGGATGGGGTACCGGGGTAATAGGGTACCAAGGTTTGAAAAGATGGAGTTTCCTGTGTATGAGGGCAAAACTGACCCGGTAGAGTGGCTTCAAAAGTGCGAGGATTTCTTTGAAGAACAACAAACCCTAACTGATGCTTGGGTTAGGCAGGCAACATTTTCTCTTCAAGGACACGCCAGTAATTGGTATCATAACCTCAGGAGAATGAGAGACAGAATGAATTGGTATGAATTTTCAGAAGAGTGTAAAATCTGATTCGGTCCAACTATGAGCATGAACCCACTAGGTGAATTAACTCGCTTAAACCAGTTTGGAATAGTACAAGACTATTGTGAGAAGTCTGAGTCTCCTTTGAGCCGAACCAACGGGGTCACACCCGAACAGAGCATTTGGCACTTCTGTACACGGTTGTCGAGTATCATCCGGTATGAGGTGGAATACGCAAGGTCGGCTACCTTGTATTTTGCCATGAATTTGGCAAGACAAATTGAACTTAAGGTGTCAGAGGCAGGCCGAATTAGGAGTTTTGGAGCCCCACCGGCCAGTGAAAACTGAACAGTAGGAGGGAATAAAACCCGAGAAACCACTGGAAACATTGCTAAACCAAAAAACCCTACTTGGAAACGCCTCACAGCCCTCGAGATGGCTGAAAGGAGAGCTAAAGGACTCTGCTTCAACTGTGATGAGATGTTTTCGGCAGGACACAAGTGCTCTAAATTGTTTTGCATCATGCTAACAGATGATGATGAAGAAGGGGCAGAGGTAATCATACCAGAAATTTCGCTAAATGCTATTACATGCACTACAAGTGACAAGACCTTCCAACTACGGGCAGTTGTGGGGAATGGAGTGGCTTGGGTGTTGCTTGACAGTCGAAGCACCCACAATTTCATTGCCGCTAAAGCTGCAGAAGATCTCCAAATTCAAGTGCGACATCAGCCAGGTTTGCACATTGCGTTACCTGATGGTGGCAAAATGGTGAGCAACGGGGTAAGTCGTAACTTACACATGATGGTCCAAGGGAATGATTTCTTGGTTGATTTCTTTGCCATTCCATTAGAAGGATTTGATGTTGTTTTAGGCATAGATTGGCTTAAAAGTTTGGGCCCTATATTATGGGATTTTATAGTTAGAGAGATGGATTTCAAAGTTAATAATAAGCTGATTAAATGGCATGGCGAATCCCCAAAACCAGTCGTACTAACTGCCCTGGGTGCATCAAGAGATTTGGCCCCCGACTTCGGTGACCTACTTGGCTCTTTTGCAGATATATTTGAAAAATCTCAAGGGATTCCACCCTCTCGTCCTTGTGACCACCAGATCCGACTTCATAATGGTACTGAACCTATTTACCTATTGTAGTCCGCCCTTACCGCTACCCCACATTCTCAAGGACGAAATTGAGAAGCAATGTGATGAGATGCTCCAAAATTGTACCATCGGATCTAGCCAATCTCCATTTTCTTCACCGGTTCTTTTGGTTAAAAAACATGATGGCTCGTGGAGATTTTGCGTAGATTATCGGGAGTTAAACTCGAAAACAGTCAAGGATAAATTTCACATTCTGGTGGTATAAGAGCTCCTTGATGAGTTACATGGTGCAACTTTTTTTTCAAAGTTGGATTTGGCTTCAGGCTACCATCATGTTCGCATGGCAGCCACTGACATCGAGAAAACCGCATTCCGCACTCATCAAGGACACTTCGAGTTTCTTGTAATGCCATTTGGCCTATCCAACGCGCCATCAACATTTTAGAGTTTAATGAACGATGTTTTCCGCCATCAATTTCGTAAGTATGTCTTAGTTTTTTTATGACATTTTAAATAACAGTAAAACAGGAACAAAACATTATTTTCATCTTCAAACTGTCTTTGGTTTGTTGCGAGCACATGGTCTGTTTCTAAAAATATCAAAGTGCTTATTTGGTTGCAAAGAGGTGGCGTATTTGGGCCATATAATTCACCAAAATAGCGTTTCTGTTGACCAAAGTAAAATCCAAGCGATACAAGAATGGCCTAAACCACACAACATTCGGACCTTACGAGGATTCCTTGGATTGGCGGGGTATGATCGCAAATTTATTCGCGATTATGGGATTATTGATGCACCATTGACCAGCATGCTTAGACGAAATGCATTTGTTTGGAGTGATGAAACGGAAGCAGCCTTTACAAGCATAAAACAAGCGCTATCAGAATCACCCGTTCTCGCATTACCCAACTTTACTACTACCTTTATAGTCGAATGTGATGCCTCTGGTAGCAGGGTAGGCGCGGTTCTCCAACAACATAGCCACCCAATTGCATTTTTTAGCCGAAAGCTTGCAGATCGACACCATAAGCTTCCAACATATGAGTGGGAGTTGATTGGTTTGGCCAAAGCAGTCACGTATTGGCGTCCGTACTTGTGGGGTCGTCATTTTATGATTAAAACGAATCATTATAGCTTGAAGTTTCTATTGGAACAACGTCTCACCACATCACCACAACATTTTGCTAGTAAGCTTCTTGGGTTTGATTTCGAAGTTGAGTATCGGGTCGGGGCACTGAACCGGGCAGCCGACTCCTTATCACGATGGGAGGAAGATATTAAACAAGGTGACTTATACACGATAGCTCATGTCAGCACAAATGTTTTACCGGTTGTCCGGAACGAAATTGAAAAATCAGTCGTCGTAAGTGAATTGTGTGACCGAATTTTAGCAGGGGAAGAAAATGTCAAGTGGTCGGTGGTGAACGGGCTGATTCTCTACGAAGGACGGACGTATTTACAACCAACATCCCCGCTAATTGAATTGGTTCTTTCAGGTATTCATCATGCCACACATGAAGGAAATCAAAAAACTATGGAACGCATTCAACAAGAATTCTATTGGAAGGGTTGGAAGAAAAGGATTCAAGACTATATTCGCCATTGTCTCGTATGCCAACGAAACAAATGGGAAACACTACAACCATCCGGTCTCTTACAGCCCCTGCCCATTCCGACGAGCATTTGGGCTGATGTGTCCATGGATTTGGTAAAAGCCCTTTCGAAAGTTTCTGATTTATAAATCAGTACTTTTAGTGGTGGTAGACCATTTCTCTAAATACGCCCATTTTTTGCCACTAGGACACCCGTATACGGCTGAATCTATGGCTCGAGTTTTTTTTTTCAGAAATCGTTCACCTGCATGGTCTTCCCGAAACCATAGTGTCTGATCGTGACAAAGTCTTACAGAGTGCATTTTGGAAGGATTTATTTCGTTTATCAGGGACAAAACTATATTTTTCAACAGCTTATCACCCCAGAGTGATGGCCAAACTGAGGTTGTTAATCACACAATCGAAATGTACTTGAGATGTTTAACTGAGGATAGGCCTCGCTGGTGGCTGATGTGGTTACCGTGGGCAGAGTATTGTTATAATGCCTCTTATCACAGAGCTCTCAAAACCACACCTTTCAAGCTCGTCTATGGAAGAGATCCACCTCGTTTATTGAACTATGATGGAGGGCATTCTAAGGTGGAGGCAGCCGACCAAGCTTTAATCAATCATGCGTCATTTTTACAAGAAGCCACCATGCATGCGTCTCTCGGAGGCACAACAATGCATGAAGTCAGCTTATGATGAGCATCATCGAGCATTGGAGTTTCAAGTGGGGGATTGGGTGTGGTTGAAATTGCAGCCATATAGGCAATGGACGGTTTCCAAGGCAGCTTTCACCAAGCTGTCTCCAAAGTTTTATGGGCCTTTCGAAATAGTGGAACGAATTGGGGTGGTTGCGTATCGCTTGGCTTTACCAGAAGGGAGTCGTATCCACAACGTTTTCCATGTTTCCTTGCTGAAACCGCATCATGGATCTTCATCAACTGTAGTTACTGAGTTACCACCTCTTTTGGATGGCAAAACATTGCTTGCTCCCTTTAAGGTACTACGAGGTCGTAACACTTAAGGCAAGCCAGAGTTGTTGGTTCAATGGGCTGCTGGAGTTGAGGAAAGTGCTACATGGGAGGATTGGCAGACTTTTCAGGAGGCATATCCTAACTTTGAGCTTGAGGACAAGCGGAGGAGGGGAGTAGTGTTATGGATGCTAAATATGGAAAGACCTACAAGCGTCGACCTAAGAAAGCTAAGGAGTAATTGGGTTCGTTTTTGCTGCATGCTATTTATTTAAAGATTTCAATATATGTTTAGTTAATTAGAATATTTAGTTTCCTTTTTCCAGTGTCTTGTTATCCCTATTTAAAGGGTCAATTATTATGAAATAAAGCATGCAATTATTCAGTCAAACCCTAGCTGTATTCTTAGATTGCCGATCAAGCTTAGTCTCCTTAGAGGGGGCTAGGCTAGTCTTTGTTAACGGATTCCAGCAACACATATACGGGTAGGATTACACGAGCAAGATCCCGGGCCATATCACTATGTTTTCATGATACAGATTTGACAGCAAACAAAAAAACTAAAAAACATAATGTAAGCAGTACATAATACACAACAAAGATTGAACTCCCACTGGTTTTATGTGATGAAAAAAAAAGGTTCGATGATTGGACTAAAACTAACAACAATAATACCCCATAAAGGTTCACTTCACCTTAGCATACAGTCACCATCATCTCAATTAAATGAGAAGGTTAAATAATAAAACCGAAATATTAATAGCAAATAAACCAGTTCCTGTTTCAGCTAAGATGGATGACATTATATGTCTAACTTGACTGACCATGGAAAAACGAGAGGCATACATATGGTCTTTTATTGTATATCTAAACAAAGTAAAACATACAAGTCAAAATTGTCTTTGTTGAGAATGTAACTCTGTCTCCTACAAACTGTTGTACGCCTGTTAGTTTTTTCATCCTGACATACATTTGATTGTGCATAGAAAGATTAATGAAATCCTAGGTGACCAAATTAAACTGATTACAACATAGTGAAACAATTTCGGGTAAAAACTCAAATCAGGTTGAAAAGGTCAGACCAAACTAAGTCAAAATAATCAGAGTAAGGCAAAAAACATCAAATTTGTAGGCTAAAATCTATAACAACTATATCAGATTTTGCAGGATGAACATCATATGGCCTAGTCCAGATATTACAAAAGCCAGGTGCAATTTAGTAAACATAAGCCCTAAAAGTAGTAAATTATAAAAGTATAATAAGTTAAAAATCTTGTTTTTCATTTCCGTCTCGTAATATATATATCTAAGACAAAATGTCACTCAAAAAGTTGCACAAAATATATACTTACAAACACAAAAAGAAGCTGACAGACAACAGGGAAAATGCTAAAACACAAACACAAACAGGATTACAGGAAAAATCAAGAATTCGACGGGGAAATACTCAAACACAAACAGGGCTGCTGTTTAGGAAACAGGAACACAAGCTCAAAACGAAAATCATTTGACTCCCAGAGCAACAGAACCTTGATCAGAAGACTAGCCGTTTCCACAAAAGTTGGTATTAGATTATGTGTTTTATGTTTATGTATTCCCATCACAGACTATAATGTATTTGGTTTTTAGTAACACCAAGCAATTGTTATTTATGGTTATGTTGTAAACTAGATTTATGTATTTATTTATTCATGTGATTAGGAGAATCAACGCTCGGATCACCTTGAGTCCTATTGAAGGAATGAAACATTTAAAATGCAAAGCTGTTTCTTACTGTCATAAAAATATTATATACAGAAATTTAATAGCTCTAAAATCTTTTTTTTTTAAATGAAAAAACAAAAAGAAAGATAAGAGTTTTAACAAGTCATCACTCATCTAAGAGATTAAAATTCAAACAATCGTCAGGGAAGTACCACATCCCTTTGCTATACACACCTTATCGACTTTTTTTATTAGTGTCAAGGAAGTGGCCATAGCTCTTTTGTCGTGTCCATGACTCTGGTTTAATAACAACACAAGACTTCAAGTAGCTATAAAAGATTGCATATTCTTGTATTGTCTTTTCTAGCGACACCCATTTCATTTCCCCAAAATCTAGTTCCATGACCATTTTAGGTCTTGAAAACCAACTTATCACAAAAAGCTTTTCATTTGAACTCACAAGTCGCAGAAAGTACAAGTCTGGCTTCCGAAAACTCTTTGTTTCAAGTAACATCCATTTTCCCTTCCACTTTGAGTTCAGATTGAGTCTATAAGTTCACCTAAAGAACAATCAGAGTGTAGAGTATATATCTTCCCTTTAAAAACATGTACATCAACAATGGGGAGAGAAGAGGAGACATGATTCCATCCTGGTTTACCCGCGATATAAAAAGATAGCCATAATTTTGAACTTAACACAACAAACACCCACCCAGATATTGAAGGTGAAAAGACAAGGATACCCATGATAGCCCTCATTCCTTTCTGTTTAGTAGGCAGAGCAGAAACACGTAAGGGGAAATCAGGGAAATGAAGTTGATGCCTTGTGATTGGATTCACAAGCCAGAAGCCATGGGTTTCCCTACTGAACAAGATCAGGTAACCACAAGTCAATCCAAAACAGATCCTTCCAGCAGAATGGGGAAGGATGGTTTTAAACATTGGCTCTTCAAAGTCCTCCTTCAGGTAGATGTAGCAGTCTTGATTATTAGCATGGGGCTTTATACGTATCTTCAATGGTGGTTTAGACACCATAAACATTCTCCTGTTAGAGACTGCAAATGACCTCCATGACTTGCAAACTCCACTGAATGCAAAAAAATCAACAACTCTTAGTTGCATCATAACTAGAAAAAGCACGTCATGATTAACATCTGACCAAGGTCCTACGTGACCCTTGTCAAAACTCTTGTTCCTCTTCCTGCTAGATGATGATGATGATGCATCATCATCATGATTCTGGTTTCTGGTCATACTCCTTGTCTTGGCCATTCCTACAAATGCAAAAGGAAAATAAATCCCACATGATAAAAACTTCGTTCCCAAGATTTTGTTTGTAATTAGGAGACGATAGCCTACTGATTATATAAATAGTCTAAATCATATGTTTACAAGACCCTTTACAACATTGATAGGGGAAATGTACCGCATAATACTATACCATGAGTACTAACTTCTAACCACCTATAAAAGGTAAAAATGGAAGATAAAATATCAATTTCAATGGTTGTTCACAAAACAGATCACAACAGCTTATTTTGCAAACAAAATTGCAATTTTACTAACTTTAAACTGCAAATACCTGTTTGAATAACCAAAATAAAGTGACTAGAACACCTGGAATCAATTAAGTGCAAAAACTAAAATCAGGTACGATCAGATTAGGGCAAAATAGTCGGACTAAGGACAAATAGATCAAATAGACAAAACAATATAAGATTGCCTTCTGGCGATATGTATTGACCCCTATTATATATATATATATATATATATATTATATATATATATATATATATATATATATATATATATATATAAGGTGAAATTAAATAGAGAAGATGACTCTACAAGCAGATGCGAGGAGGAAAATATACCTGCATTGATAGCGTTGAGCGTAGAATTGTTGGGCGTAGGGAGGAGGTACAACAGAGACCGTGAAACAATACATGTAACCTAAATAATTGAGTTATGATTTTTCTAAAAAGATTTTTAAAAAAAATACTTTTGTCTATTTTAAATTTTGTTTAACGATTTAATTTTAAATTATCTGAATATTAAATAAAAGTTTTAACAGTATTAGTTTTGTTTTCTATTTCTGTTTGATAGATGTCTCTATCATACTATTAGCATTTGATACGTTTGGTTTCTTCATACCGGATACAATGAAACTTTTAGATAAAATACAACGGATTATGCATAGTAATGTTATATCTTCAAGAGCTATGGATGTAGTGTTTAAAAAAATAGATTTTACCATACAAAAAAATTTACCGACAGTTTGTTGATTGTTTATCTCTCACTCGTTGTACGGTGATAACTAAGTTTTGAAAAAATTAGATGAAAGAAACTTGAGGTCTTTTGTAGAAAAAGAATAGGAAATTTTAAACAATCTCAAATAATATGATATGTGTGGGGCTACACACACCCATATGTTTTTTAAACAACATTCATTTTAATTTTTTTTTTTGTCTAATTATAAATTTTGTTACAATTTAGGTTTAAATTTTAAATTTTAAATTTTGTTTAAATTTAATTCAAAATGAATTGCTCCAAACTGTTAAAGATATTTATACAATGTTTTTAAACTTTATTATTTTACAATATTTCTAACATTATTGTAACTTATTTATAACGTTTTATAAACTTTCTTGTTTAAAATTTTTAGAGCTTTTAGAAATTTCTTCTTTTAAAAAGTTATAAAAAACACAAGTAAAAATATTATATGAAAACATAAAAAAGGGTTGTAAAAGAAGTTTTAAAATGGAACAATGGCAACCCACTTTTTTGTTTTAATTTCAGCCCACAATTTGAACATCAACAACCCATAGTCCACTCTACACGTCCATCAACATGATTTTAAGAGATTAATTATATTTATATTAAAAAGCAAGCCCACAATTGTGATTTTAAGAGATTAATTATATTTATATTCAAAGAGTAAGTGGCTAAACTATTTTTTTATGGGATAATGTTATATGGAAGTTCTGTGTTTTGTTTTGATATTGTCCCTCAGTTTTTTTTTTTTTTTTTTTTAATAGCATTGTAGGAGCATAAAGTCTTATCTAACTTGATATTATGGTAACAAAACCTATTGTAACCGATAAGTGGTGACATGAATGCATGTCTATGCCTATGTGGCTGCCAAGTTGTAGTCGACGTGGAAGGAGTATTGTGATCAGCTTGGTCGACAAGCTTTGTATTATAAATCCAAACACTAAATTAACCAAAAGTGTAAATCTCATTACCCTTTAATCGAGAATCTTCAACTGTATGCCAATAAGAAGCTATGGACTCCTTCAACACCCTCTCTTATAACGACATTAACACGGCCTCCTCTTTCTTTCAACTGTGAGCTGATGTGTTTGGAATTGCATGTTGAACAGTCTTAGCTGAAGGCTGAGATGCAATTTCTTTACCCCAATGGTCTTGTCACATCAGACACTTTATAGAGTGTCCAAGGACTATAGTCCAAAATAAAAACAAAGATGAGAGTGCCCACTTTAAGCAAAAGGGTTGGTGACATTAACTAAACTGTTTACATAATAAGCTGCAAGATGGAAATACACGACTAGTTATCATTAACGTCCGGACAATTATAGTCCATAATCAAAACAAAGATAAGATTACTAACAAGTCACACATCTAAAAGATTAACACTCAAACAATCAAGGGGGAAGTACCGCATCTGGTTTCGATGGCTAGATGGCTAATGTGTTGTAGATTGTCATACACATACAGTCACCATCATCTCAATAACTGAAAAAGCTAAAAAAAATAGAACCAAAGATATCAATAGCACTTAAATGAGTTCATGTTCAAATAGATGGATGGCATAAGTCATAACATGGTCTTTTGTTGTATATCTAAACAAAGAAGTAAAATAGAGAAACTTAAAAATTGTCTTTGTTGAGAATGTGCATACATGGTTGTATTCTAATTTTCTTACTTGTTAGTAATCAGGAATTGGTTGCTAATTTGATTTAGAAAATGGTCTAAATCATCTAAAAACTGTTAGCCGACAAGATTTTGTAAACTCAAGATAACCCCATTTCACCTCTATCTCCTACAAACCATCAGTCGCCTGTTATTTTTGATCTTGATGTTTCAATAACTATGAGAAAATGGATAAAAACATTCTAATTATCTTACTAATACTTGTTCCAAAGTTATAAATCCAAGGCATACATTTGATTGTACGTAGAAAGATTAAGAAAGTCCTAGATGACCGAGTGTGGGAATTAGCAGTTCTTGAAGAGATGAATGTTGTTAATCAAAATGGTACTTGGAAGAATGAAGATCTCCCACATGGTAAAACCTTTTGTTGTTGTAACTTCTAAATGGGTAGCAATTATTAAGAGTATTGATGATGGTAGATCTGAGCTGAGAGGTATAAAGGTAAGTAGAGTAGTCATTGTATGATTGATTAATAAAAAACATTTGCCCTAATTACTTCCTAATATGTTTGTAGTTAGGAAATATAGCCAACTAAATCATAGGTTCCCATGTCCCTATATAGTATTGATAAGGGAAGTGTAAAACACATATGAACAAATCAATTAGTGAACCGCCATGTAGCACCTGGTTCCTAGTATGTATTTTATTCTAGTATCTTGCATTTTGGCCTTGGACTCGGCGAGTTGAGGTCCAACTCGTCGAGTCGGAGCGTATTGGACACATAAATTTAATGACCTACTCGACGAGTCCGCGTCCGGACTCGGCGAGTAGGCGCTGTCCGGACAAAACCCTAGATGAGGGTTTGCACCCTATTTAAACCACTTATTCAGCCTCCCTTTCTTCCCCAATGCTTCCAGAACTCCCCATAGCAAACCCTAGCCGTTTTTGAGAAGAACTAAGGCATTTTTGGTGGATCTTGCTAGTTGTGACCATAAGGAGGGAGGGAAAGGCTTGAGGAAACAAGTGAAGACCAAGGGAACCCGAGTTTGTGCATCTTCCACAGTTCATTGGAGGTATAAAGCTGTAACCTTGCTCTTTCATTTGTTAGATCCCTTTTTGGGGAGATTTAGGGCTTTTATAAGCCATTTTTGGTGACCAACCATGATTTGCAAGCATGGTTGGGGGTTGAGGCTTCAGAATCAAGTCATTAAGGGAGTCACAAGGCAGTTAGGGGTTGCTTTTGCACCCATCTAAGGTCCCATGCATCATAAGAGCTTATTTTATGTCCTTTTGAGCTCAAAGTCCCATGCATGCACGTAAAGTTTGTAATTTTACATGCTAGAACGATTGAAGGAGCTTAGATCTACCTTTTGGTCAAGAGTTGTACGCTGGAAATCGAGAAATGAGACTTGGACATGCCCGACTCGACGAGTCGTTCTTGGGACTCTGCGAGTCCGAGGCAAAACTCCCCTTTTCTGTTAAGGTTTAAAGGAACCCAGTTGAGCACTAAAAGGGTTTTTAGAGGGTCCAAGGGAGTGACCCAACGTATTGGACTTAGCCTTAGATCTGGAGTTCATGGGACTCGACGAGTGCAAGAACGGACTCGGCGAGTCCAAGGCAATCTCCTTACAGTTGAAGATGAACTCGACGAGTTGTTCATACAACTCGGCGAGTCAAGGACATGACTTGTTTATCAGATGAAGGTGAACTCGACGAGTTGTTCATCCGACTCGACGAGTTGTTCATCCGACTCGGCGAGTCGGATGAAGATTCATTCGATGTTCATAAAGAAGGGGGAAACTCGTCGAGTCGTTGTTGAACTCGACGAGTAGAGTCGTGGATAAGGACGGGTAAAGAGTTAGGGACTCGACGAGTTGGCGGCCCAACTCGACGAGTCGGGTCAACTGGAAGTTGACTTTGACTTGGACTTGGTTAGGGGTAAAATAGTCATTTTACCCTAAGAGTAGATATCAGATTCTAACCGAGTGTTTTGTGGGATTATAGCTGGAGGGTTACCGGAGCAGCAGTCAGTCAGTTGTCGAGCAGTTTTTCAGCAGTCAGCCTTTCGAGGTGAGTTACCTTCCAGTAGCGGTGGGTCTACGGCCACAATGTCGGCCCACTAGTAGGAGTTGTATGTTAGATGATTGTCTTGTGATAATCATCTAGGTTTGCGGCTACCTGTTATGTTTATGTGTTTTCATGCTATGTGTTATATGGTAGTAGTAGGGGGTGAAATAGTCCCCGGTTGTCGGGTGAAATAGACCGACGGGTACGTCAAGCACCCCAGAATGGCTTGACTTGGGTACGTCAAACACCCCAGAATGGTTTGACCTGGGTAAGTCAGACACCCCAGAATTGTCTGACAGTACATTATGTTATGCTATGTGTTTATGTGGTAGTAGTAGAGGGTGAAATAGTCCCCGGTAGTCGGGTGAAATAGACCGACGGATACGTCAAGCACCCTAGAATGGCTTGACTTGGGTACGCCAAACACCCCAGAATGGTTTGACCTGGGTAAGTCAGGCGCCCCAGAATTGCCTGACGGTATATTGTATGGTATGTGGTATTGTGGGGGAACTCACTAAAGCTTCGTGCTTACAGTTTTCAGTTTTGTTTCAGGTACCTCTTCAGCGAAGGGGAAGGAGCCGGCGCGGTAGCTGCACATCATACACACACCTCAGATTCCGCATTATGAGTTTTCCTTGGGATTGTACTATGATATTATCACTATTTTATGACTTGGATTTTCAGACATTATACACAGTTTCATGAGATGTTATGATTTGACAATGTTTTTCCTACGAATGTTTTAATTAAAGTAATTTATAAAAATGAAAATTTTGGACGTGAAAATTGGGTTGTTACACGCCACTAAAAGATAAGAAAAACAAAATAACTTCCATTTCAATGGTTGTTAGGCTAAGGGGTATGGTCACACCCAACCTACCGAAAAAATGATGTCACCTCATCGCCATGTCAGCTCCACTACCAACCTACTACCAACCCACTAATTCTTGGAAATGGTCATCGCTCCACATCAGTTTTTCCTTTTTT